CCCCCCCCCCCAGCATGTAATATAAAATAATTTACTAATAATCAGATACTTTTTGTAGGATTATAATCAATGTCGACTTATTGCGAAAAGGCAACAACCATTAAAATTTTGTTTCGAAAGTACCGCGCAAAAACGTATACTCCACAGATTAACAAAATGATTATATTATATCCCAGCACTCTAAAATTGGGGTAATATTACACACTGGTACCGGCCAATCCCTTCAGTTGTTACTAACACGGATTTAAAAAAAAGTAGCCAGGCACTAAATATCAAGTGAAACATTAAGTGTGTACAGCACAAGAGACTAAAGGATATCAAACTCCAAAAATAGATAAATAGAACGAACAAAAGACAGTCATCAAGATGTACACTAGTGCGATTTCCACTCTTCTTCTGCTTACTGGATACGGCATGCTATGGACTGGCGTGACGTCACAGCAATGGCGGCGGGAAATGGGATACGACCACGGCTTGTGGACCCGCTGCGATGAGGATGGATGTATTCACCTTGTCACAGGGCTAAATTGTAAGTGGTTTTGTTGTTGCTGTTGTTGTTGTTGTTGTTATTGTTGTTGTTGTTGTTATTGTTGTTGATCTTGTTGCTATTGTTGTTGTTGTATCTTGTTTTTGTTATCGCTTATAGCTTGAATTAAAAACTATTCTTGAACAAAAATGTGATGCACCCTGGTGATATCATGCGCTTGTCAAAATAATGAAATCAAAGTAACCAGCATTTTTCGTGCTGTTGAGCCATTTTTTTTTAGCATTTTCTCTTTCGACTCAACGTCTTCTTTGTCTATTCAAAAATGAATTTCTGAGTAAATTATTCTGAAAAACGTTGATCAATGGTTTAAAAGTTGTGTAATCACGGTTTTCAAGTACACTCAAGATTTTGAAGTCACCGAACTTTGGCGGCCATTTCTCGTTAAATTTACCAGTGACACCCAAACTTCCTTCAATGACAAGTATCTCGTCTTCTATTCACGATAGGCGTTTTATTTGTTTTTTCATCTAAAGCAGTTCAAATGAACAAGCTTTAAGGTGATACCAATAATTTTATGCCCTAAAATTGACGAGCGCCCGATTCCACCCCGTCTTGACTCAAACATTTCGGAGTCACAATGGCACGTTGTGCTGATTGGGGATCCGCTCTTTTGCTAGGCCGGTTGTTGGACTTTGGACTATTCATGTCCTCAGACAGCCCCTGGGGTTACTGCAAGTTACTGCGTGTCCCTTTCAGTCAGGCTGAAACATTCTTTTTAATTTGATGAGGTATCTTGACTTCCACCTGAGTAGAATGGAAGTAAAGAGATAAAATGAGGGAAACAATAAGGGGGAAAACAGGGGAGAAATGGGGGACAGGGGGGGGGGGGGGTGACAGCACTTGTTGTGCAAGCAACCTTTAAAGGTGAAAAACACCAAGTGACATTTATTTTCAGAAGAAAACGTGGAATTATTGGGAGGGGAGTGTGAATCTTCTCTGTTGACTCTTTCTAACGTCTTCTTTTTCATTCTAGACATTAGGTAATGTGTCCTGTATTTAAAATATCCACTTATAATACATAACTAGTACAATAGTTATTCTCATTTCCTTCATTCAAATCCTTTGTGTAAAACACTTAAGGTCATTGGTCTCTACTTTGGAGTACCTCAGAATAAGTAATTGTGAATATTTTGTTATTGTAAACTTTAAAAAAGAAAAAAAAATCTAATTAACCTGCAGCGACAGAGGCACTATCGCTGAATCTATGCTCTTGCAAATTTTGCAAGTACATGTATGTCGAAATCCTGGTACCAAGGCTTTTTTCACCACCAGCCTGAAATATCTAAACATATTGCTTGATACATGGTAACACATCATCCAAGAAGCTACCGAAACAAAGAACTGGCGATGTGTGGATTTTTAGGAAAAAGCAAAAGGAGCGAAAAATGAAAGATGGGAAAAATTTGTCTGAGAAATTGGACAAGACAAAGGTTTACACAAATTTAGGAAGATACACAATAGAATGAACAACGGGCGCACAGCAAACTCAATGCCGGATATCAAGAGCATTGATGGAATGACCATTCTGAGAGATGATGCAAGCAAAGGAGAAGCCTTTCTTAACAGATACATCACGCAGACTGATCAGGGTGATGCTGAGACAAGGAAAGAGGTATGCCAGAGGTTGAAGGGAGTCATGCGGGACGAGGGATTTGACAACATCATCACAATAGATTTGGTCAAATCTGTGCTAAAAGCCAACAACAACACAACGCCAGGTGCAGATGGGATACAGTACAAACACTTTAATGAGCTCAGTGACGAGGAACTGGAAATAATTGTGGATGACTACTACAGCAGCATCATGACATCAATTGTACCAGAAGAGTGGCTGCACAGTTATTTAAAGCCACTACTAAAACCTGGGAAGAATCACAAAGAACTCAACGGATACTGCATTATCACCATGCAAAATGTGTATGGAAAAGTGCTAGAAAAATGCATGGCAAGAATACTTATGAATGAGCTAGAGGACAATGGGAACCTACCTAAGGAGTTAGGGAGTTACAGACCCAGAAAGGAAACTTGGAACAACGCAGGGACATTAGTGTACGATGTATATGAAGGCTTTCAGAGAGGAGAAGAGACCGTGGCAATAGCATTAAACCTGGAAGATGCTTACAATCATGTAAATTATGAGAGGCTAATGTGTGCTCTGCTAGATTGTGACGTGAACCCGTGGATTGTTGGGTGGATCGCAGGAGCAATGCTAGAAAGAAAAGTGGCTTTGCGATGTGGTCAATGGATTTCAAGCCCACAGGTGATAACACCAGGACTCACACAGGGCTCACTCTTATCGCCCATACTGTTCAATGTCTACATTGCTCGTATTGCAATGCTGAACAGCATTGGGCCAGGGAGAATACTAACTTTTGCAGATGACATCTTGGCCTACAGGCAAGGACGGGATCGGCGGAAAATGACACATGAACTACAGCAAGAGGTTGAGAAAATCATGGAGTGGTGTGAGGAATCGACCGCAGTGATCAACCCTCAGAAGGCCACGGCACTGTGGTTCTCTTTAAACAATCGAATAGTAAAGACAGCTGTCCCAGAACTGACGGTAAATGAACAGAATATTCAAAGATGTCAGAAGATGCGGTATCTGGGAGTGGTTTTCGATCGCTGTCTTTCCTTCAAAGATCACATAGATGGTGCAGTGGAAAGGGCAAAGAAGGGCTTGAATGCAGTGAAGGTCATGGCGGCTTCGGGAATGGAACAAAGGCTACTGCTTCTTATGTATCAGCAGCTGGTCTTGGCAGTCATGGATTATGGACTCGGAATATTGACCTTGACAAAAACCCAACGGAAAAGTTGAAGCGAGTTCAAAATGAAGCCATGCGCATCATACTAGGCTGCACCAGGGATACGCCAATTATCTGTATGAGGCATGTATTGGGTCTCATGTCAGTGGAAAACAGACACAAAGAAGCTCAGGTTAGGGCGTACATGAGAGTGGCGGCGGATAAGCAACACCCACTTCACAAAGCCATTGGAGCAATCAAGGGAAATCGCCTACAACGAGAAGCTTCTTGGATGGTTGAAGCTGAAAACACCTTCAAGGAAGTCTGCTCACTGGAAGATATAAAGCGGGGTGAAGAATGGATAAAGATGAATGAGAGACAGCAGGGAGATTTTGGGAAGGTAGTGATTACGCTGAACAGAGAATGTAGAGAGTGGCCGCATGGGGCGACAGATGCTGAGATAAGACAACTGATTGAAGAAAACTCACCGCACGGAAATGTGGTTGTATACACGGATGGATCTGTTAATCGAGGGGAAAAATCTGGATGGGGCTTCTCAGCAAGAGTGAGTGGCAGATTGGTGCAGGAACAGCAGAAAGCATACGATATGACAACATCTAGCATGAGAATTGAGATAGAGGCAATCACTCAGGCTCTCAAATGGGTCACAACAACTCGACAAGCACATGTGATCTTTGTCACAGACTCTCAGAGCACTCTGAGGAAGATTGAAAGTGGAAACCTTAGAGCTGAATGGACAGAGCTCTTGAAGAAACAACACTTTAAAAAATCACGTGGATCTTCACCCCGGGCCGGGCCATGCTGGAGTCAAGGGGAATGAGCGGGCTGGTGAGCTCGCTGGGAAAGCAAAACCAGAAGGGAAGCTGTGCCCTGACAAACATGAAATTGTACGGTCAGTCAAAGAAAAAAAAAGAAAAAGAACAAAAAGAGACGGAATACCATCATCTTGAGCGACTTCGTGAGTTTGAAATTGGATGAGGCGCCTGCAGAAGTTCAAGACTGAGTGGGAGGAGCAGAAGGATATGGAATCAACCATTACTTGGAACCGTCAGCATCTACACACTTCGAGATGTGCTTCTTCAGGGGAGGGAGCGCTTATGGGAATGCCCCTTGTGCAGTGATGTCGGTCCTTTACACAAGTAAACAAGTAAACATGGTAACTTTTTTAAGTGTCTGCTGGGGTGTTCAGTTTCCAAAGTTTATTCAACATGTGATATTATTATTGGTCAGCATCATTAATAAGTAAAATAGCACATTTAATATAATGCAACGCATGCTGATATAAGTGTCAATTTCTTCACGTCCTAAAGCGTATCTAGCCCCAGTGCGTGTGGGATTGCTAGGTTCCCTCCTGCTGTACACAGTGGTCACCGCATGTCTTCTTGTCCAGTGCTGCAACCCGCGGAGCCGGAAGTCCTGCGTGACCTGGGTCATTGACGTCTGCGCCGTTTTAGCAGGTGTGTTATTGGAGTAATTGTCTTGTGAAGTGAATTCGAAATAGATAGCTGGCGCCTCAATATACACAGTATTAATTATTAATACTAACTAAAAATTTGCGTAAACTGAGTCACGAGTGCTTAACAAATTTAGAGAGGTAAGTTTCATGAACAGAAGTTCAGCTGTCAAAGAATGATTTACATGGACCTTGAATCTGAGTGCCTGACTTCTGGTTGAAGGTGAACGCTCAATTCTTGAATTCTGTACGTTACTCAATACAATAATATTACAGTTGTTATAATATTACAGTTATCTCCTTCGAGGGAAAATGACCTCTACCGTGCCCCAAAACAGTATGCCTGATATTGCCTTGATAACTAATTTGGTACAAAATACTTTGCCGATTCTGTGCGTTGTTTCTTGTTGCATCTCCTGGGGCTGTTGTTGTTGCAGCTGTTGTAGTGCCGATGCGTATCTTGCTGCGCCAGTACAATGTTTAAAAACTTCTTTTGGTAGCGTGGCTTGTTGTATCAATGACATCCACTGTTAGTTCGGGGGGGGGGGGATGTTAGCGTTCTCTTTAACCCCCCTTGATTCGATTTCCGAATAATATGCCGTGAGCAGAAAAAATAAAATTAATTGTTTCTCGCCTTATCAAGTCTTATGTTCTAAATTCCTGTTTGCACTTAGGTAAAGAATTTAAAACACCAAGCTCAATGAAGCAGTTAGCGATTCTATATATTTAAAACAAATACAAAAACTTGTTTATATTATTGACTAAATACCTAATTATTCGCTAGTAGCTGATTAGATTGCACCTTTCTGGAATAGTCTTCAGAACTGCTCCTCAAATATTTGAATATTTGTATGTCATCCCCAGGTTTGGAAGCGGGCATATTGTAGCCATTTTTGGCAACATTGCTTGGCATGTGCCGGTCTATGTTTAATATGTCATCATGTCTAATTGTTCCAAGCTGTTAGCTAAAGTCGGCTTCAGGGAAAGCAGAGAAAACATAGTATATCATATACACTTCATTGCGCTTTGTTATGCATATTCATTTAAATTTACTGAATAATCGTATCTATTTCCTGCGTCACCATTCTCACAAAAATTAAGACACTACTAAACGTTTCTCTCTCAGAGCTGCTAGCGACATTATCCCTGGGCTTATACGGCTTCAAGACTGTTATGGCAAGGGCAAAAATGCCGTCGTTACTTTGGGGGTTTGCTATCACGGTCACAGCTGTGATGATTGCTCTTCTTGGAAGTATACTCCGAGCTATGGGCCCTGTCAGTGGATGGAGCAGAGGGTTTTCTTGTCTTTTGCCCAAAAGAAAATGTGGAAAGGGACAGATTCCGTACAGAGAGCGGCAACGGCAATACCATACAGGAGGAATGTATCCCTGGGTAAGTCAAATGTTGATATGCTATATTATCATTTTTTTCTTCTAATATGCTAGTTGTGCTCCATTTTGAACATTATCTATTTCCTTTCATTGTATAAACTACTGACACATATTGCAATAGATTTACTTGAGGCACATCATTCTAAGGCTGCCTAGCATGGCATTTAATAAGTTTGCAAAATGCCATAAAAACACAAATCAGTTCCATACTGTTCATAGACATTTTACTTCAAAGTCACTTTTTGTTCGAACTGCCTGATATTGTTGTAAAGTAGAACGGAAATATCTGTTAATTTGAAAATCAAAAGCTATATTAATATTGGAAATACTACATGATTCCAACTCCGGAATTCCACAGATGAGAAACCAGATTCGATACCAAAGGCGCCAGGAGCCGCAGACGATGCCTCTACTGGCCTTATACCGTGCCGACGCAAAAGCTGGGTATCAGGTAAAAAAAGAACCTGGGACATTTTGTCCCCTTATCTACAGTAACGATGCTTCTGCCTTACATAAATGTATACTCATACATACAGAAACGTACTCACAAACGCAAATACAGCACACGTAAACGCAAATCTAGCACACACACACACGCGCACACACACACACACACACACACACACACACACACACACACACACACACACACACACACACGTACACATACAAACACATTCACACACAAACAAACACCCGCACAAACACACACACACGCACATACGCACACATGCACACGTACACCCATCAACAAGAACTCCCCAAGTACTATTGTTCTGGGCAATGGACTCTGTCAACTGTATCCCATTTTCTTTAAGTCCCTCCTCCACTGACTTCTAGGCTTTCCTAATAAATAGCCTGACAGTGTTGCAAGACACGTTAAACCGATACAAGTTCTCACGTTCTGTTATTAAAGAAGATAGACGTTAAATTTAAGTGCCCCCGCCATGAAATAAGGAAATGATTTTAAAAATCTAATAATTATATAGGGTGTATGCATATAAATACTTTATTATGGCACCGTCATGATGTAACACTCACTCTCTGTTCCGGGTGCTTTGCAATGTTCAATGTAACAACACATACCTCTCTAAAGATAGTACAGCAAACGTCCTTATTCAGGTTGAGCAAACTGACCTATCCATTTTATTCAGTCTAAGGAGAATACTTGTTGGATTGACGCGATTTTTCCGCCGTTTATTTAACAATACTCTTCGATGGTGTAATTTACGTGTTACCTGTATCCTGTATCATTGAATGATATCCAAGGAGCCATCTGGATATTAATTGCCTGTCTCGTTTGTTCCTATCCCCAGTACGTATCAATGCCTTCCTCACGGCGCA